TACAAAAGGTCATCTGCAGGGGGAGTAAAAGTGTCAAAATGTGTTGTGGTTGCAACTATTTAAGGGTATATCATTCTTATGGTATGTTGTTGCTATTGTGTTTCCTGGTGTGAAGAGATGTCGAACGGGGTGTTCTGACATTCTGTTTATGTGTTATGTTGGATAGCTCAGATATTTTGTTCTAAGGAGACGAGTCTCAGATGTGTGAACTTGAATATCTCATGTAGGTCGTTTGGGTTTTCCTCAGTTATGGTCTGGTGGGTTTTCGACCTTTTTTTCTTAGGCTTCGAGAAAATTTTCTTCTTCCACTTGGGGAAGGGAATAAGTTATCATTTCCTAGAAGTGGCTCTGAGTAACAGCGGGAATAATAAGTCTGTCTCTTTTTTTGGCTGCTTCTGTTTGCAGTGAGTGTTTACACTTGTTGTGTACATTTACTCTGTCTTTCTTTTTGTTAATATTTTGACTAAAAAGGTGGAGTAAATTATTTATGTCCTATGTCACATCACATGTCTTGATATGTTGATAGCATTGTGATAGGACTATGTGCTACTTCTTTTGGAAGAGTAGTTTTGTAGTTGCTCATGCAAATATTCAGGGGGAGTTTGAGTTTGTTCATGCAAGTTCTCTCATGAGATATGAGTTTGATGTCAAACAAAGTTTATCTGACATTTTGCATGTTGAAAAATCTCCTGGGAGTTTTGTGCCAAGATTGTTTTAGCCAAAATTTTCCAAAGGGGAAGATTGTTAATACCACGGTTTTGTGATTGACTAAATTTTGGCAAAACATGGTTGTTCACAACAGGTTGTGTTGTTATGAGATTTTTAACCAGATGTCAAAGACAGTGTCATGACATCTTGGCATGGTACAATAGGTGTTACTGTTTGATAAATTCTTAACATTTTTAAATTTATTTTCTGAGGTTCCTTTTGGATATATCTCAGTTATTTTTCTCAGCTCAAGGATATGTAATATGGAACAAGTAAATCAATTCTCCATCAACATTAAAGTTTCTAAATTTGTTGTTAAGCTAATTTAAGATGTTTGAATATTTGCTTCAAGATTTAAGGAGATATTTTCTGCAACAATCAGCTTGTGGATCAAGGAATAATTGGGCAGAGATTTCTAGGCCCACATCACCTGGAGACTTATAAAAGGAACACCAAGACCTAGGGAAAATTAGTTCTGAATATTATTGAAAAATAAGATTTTAGGTTTGAAAGTATCTCGCATTCCTTGTAATGTAAGTCACCCTTTATATCTTTTGATACTTTGTGGTAGATATTGTTTTTCTCACTCAAAAACCTTTAGGTAATGAGTTAAGTATTATTCTCCTAAAATCTTTGAAGCAAGAGTTGAGTATTGTTCTTGGAGGAAGCTTTTAAGCAACTCCTAGTATTTGATTTGGAAGTGTGATCTTCCTATTTTTTATTTTTCAGGTTGCTGTGACTGTGACCTGTTTATAGACAACCCTTGTAATTGGGGTGTGTCTTTTATTATTGAGTGTGATTGGAAGTGAGATGTCAATTTCTCATAACTAGGGAGGACCTAGATAGAAGTTGCACTGGTAGGGATTAGGTGCGAAGTTGTAAGCTTGGGACTAGTTTAACTTCAAACTAATACTGCTAATAGTGGATTTCCTTTCTGGCTTGGTAGCCCCTAGAGTAGGTGAGTTAGCACCGAATTAGGTTAACAATTGATTGTGTTCTTTATTATTCTGCACTTTAAATTCAGCACATTATTTCTGTTCGATATTGTTATTTAGTCTATTTACAGATGTCATAAAATTTGTCTTGACATCATGATCTGATGTTAGAAACATCACTATGAGCATGTTACATACCAGTGCCATGATTGTATTGTTCGCTAGGGCACTCCTGTGTGTTATGAACAAAATAAAGTATCTATGAGAAATAATTTCACAATGGTTACAAAGTTCAATTGTAGTGAGAAACAATTTCACAAAATATATCATAACGGTTGTACAAAAAAAACATACTGATATCCCTTTAATTTTTTAATTTAAAAATAAATAAATAAAGGGCGCGCCATGATGTTAAAGGAATAAAATATTTGAGGGCACTGAGGTTATAACCCATGAAAGCTTGGTTGTATCACCACTGTGAGGTCATCAATCGTTATTATATCCTAATAATTTGTAATTAAAAAATAAATAAAATGTTAGCGCCTAAGTTTAGAGATGTCACCATGGTGTTTGGAATAACTGTGGTGATTTGGGTGTTGTTGTATACGCATTTTGTAGTAGTGAGTTCAATATGGTGTAAAATCTTAGTTATGTTCGTAATCAGCTTATATAAGCCCTTGGTTCAGTTTGGAGGATAACCTGTTCAAAACTCTGCATTGGTTCGAGATAAGTCCATATAAAAACTCGATTTATATTAGGGACTAGCCGCTCAAGACTTTGTTCGTGTTTAGAAGGAAGACTAACGGCTACAGTCCAATGTTTGTTGTTTGGTTGAAATTTAACCTAAAATTTCATTTTCCTTGTATAAGGGTGCTTGTGAGCTTAACCTACTTAAAGCTCATAAGCATTACTAGATACTCTTAAGATCAAGTCTTAGGGAGAAGATTTTAAGTCACTTCATTTAGACCGAACCTCTATAAACTCTAGTGTCTTCTCTTTTCTCTTATCTTTTTTATTTTGTTTTTTGCATATTTTCTTTCCATTGATTTTCCGCTACTATATTTAAACGTTTTCTTAAAAATATATTTAAACTCTAAAATTGAAAATAACTTTGTTTTAATCCTTCGTTTTTCAAACCCACATAATTCACTCGCTCCTCTTGTATATGGAGTATCATTTTTAGCATGTATGTTCGTCTTTTTGAAAATGGAAAAAAAGGGATAATTATACTCTTAAAGGGATAAAGTATACCCTCTTTATGTCCAAAGAGGAATAAAGTCACTTCAAATATTTTATCTATCCCTTCTATTTTACCACCTCCTTGAGATATGCGTTCTCATCATAAAAAGGAAGAGAATATGATTCTATCTACTATGCAGTTTACACTGTAGTTTTGATGATGACAACTGTCAAATATATGATGACAATTGTTTAGTGTTGATTTGCCAAGTGTCGTAGTCCTATGACTAATTTTTTTGATCATAATTGCTCTTCAAATGGTTCTAGATGATGGTATCTATTCAAGGAGGAAATACTAAACCTCATCAGTCAAATGTATCAAGTTCCAGTTGAAATTGGTATAGTCATTGTTGAATCAAGTAAAAGAACTTAAATAGTTGAAGTTATAATCTTAAAGCTTGAAGGAGTTAGATTTGAATGTTTGTTTGATCCTATGCTTAATGATTATTCCCTAATCTAAATCAATTTATTTAAAAAAGAATAAGAGTAGTCTTGATGTACTAAAGTAATTAGACACACACAAAATACTTTCAAATCTCTTCTCTTTCGATAAATCTCCTAAAATCCAATATGAGATAGCATTTAATTTAATAGAAGCTTTCTTTGTTAGGAAGATAAAATACATTTAATTAATATACTAAGAGGATCTAACAATCGATTACTTAATGTTTAAGGCATCTTAATCGATTAATGAGGTTATCAAATGATTAATGCAGTGTTTGGTAACCTGGTTACACACGCCACCTCGCGCTTAGATGTCATTCCACTACAAATTCTCATGAAGCTATAATTATTAGCTTCGTCTCAACGTGCAGTCATGCTGCAGTTTTCTAAAATTCCAAACAATATAAGTGACATCAAAAATCAAACTTTTCTAATTTGGCTTGGACTAATAAATTAAAAATATATTTTAGTCAATTAAAAGCTTAAAAGAAACTTTGAAAAAGGCTCATGTATAATTTTTTTAGCCAGATTATTTCCTATTTAAAGGAAATTTCTCCTCATTTAAAATCACATTAGTTTTCTAAGTAGAAATCTTCCATTAACATTCTTTCTCTCATTCTTTTATAAATTTATTTATTTATTAAAGTTGTCTTAATGACAATAGAGTGAAATTTTTTTATAAAAAGTTACGTTGTTGTATTGATATTGTGCTGAAAGTCTTTATTGAAGAGCATAGTCTAAGGTGACTTATTTTGTTATAGTTTTGAAGGTTTCAAGCTTAATCTATTAAAAGCTTGAGTGAAGTTTATTGATATGAACTTGATAAAATCTCTCTTGAGGGTTATTGAGTTGAACTTATAAAAAGTTCGGATTTAGGTTTGGAATAGAGCTTATGTAAAAACTATGTGTGTTCTTAGAAGGTTTTTGGGCTATTCCTATTGCAAAAAATAAAGTAGTGTTGAAAGGTTGTTTAAAATGATCCTCAGAAGAGCTTAAGGTTGATTTTAATGGAAACTCGAATGTCGCAATTCTCTCATCTCTTATGTTTTAAGTTATTTTGTCAACAATATCTCACCCTCTTCGAAATTAAAGATGGCAAAGAGTCATGTCCAACTCATTTAAACTTGGTCCGTAAATGCCTGTAAAAATGGTGTGGATGGAAGGGAGATAGTAAGTGATGCAGGACAAAAAAAATAGGACGGGACAGACCTGCAATACACCTCTTAAAAAATCAAAATTAAAAAAAAAACTATGACCTCCTCAAAATGCCCAAACACACTAAAGTCCCAAAAAAACAAAACGGAGTGAACATTGTAAATAAAACATACCTAAAATCTTGGTCCATCCCGTTAATTGCGAACAAAACTAGTTTGGTTAGAGGACCCGTTTTACCACCTTTTTAAATTGAGTTACAATAATTTTAGTTTTAAGAATTTAATTTTAATTTTTGTTTCCTTTTGATTTACTTTGTAAAAGAAAGATTTGAATACTACATAATGGAGTTTGATACAAATATTCAACCTTATCTCACAATATTACTATTTATGTTGGAAAGTGACTACACCATACAATAGATAAATATAATTGAACACATGCATAAACCTTTTACAGATTTATTTAAATCAACCTTTTATTTAAATTTTATTTCTACATATATTAGATTCGAGAAAAGAGTCAATCTTCAAGTCCAAGTTGAGTGAAGTGAGGACTTTTAAGTGCCTCTTGAAGCAACTCATCATCATCCCACGAATCTCTATATGTCTCCAAGTTGACAATAGAGTTAACAATGGATGTAACGCACAACACTTTTCTCCATTCTTGTAATGGTGGAAGTCCTACATTCTCTCCATATTTGTCACAATACTGCAAAATGATTTCTTTTTTTTTATATTAGTTTATAATTCTGAAGTGTAAACCAAGAAAGTGATTACATATTTTTGATAAATATTTTTTTTTTTTAATTTTACCTCAAAGTCTCCAATATCATGAGTAGGGATGCCTGCTACTTCTTTTGAATGGTATAACTCTTTGATGGATTTCATCATTTCATCCCATGATGGTAATGCTTTTTTCCCAGAAAGCAATTGAGCTACCCACATTGCTTGGGACTCAAAGAAAGGGAATCCTAAGATCTGCAGTACACTCATCAACCAAATAACTTTACTCTTATATTAATAACACATCTTTTTATTATCATAAATATCATGTGATTAAAAATATGTCGGACACCAATACGTGTTACACTTCAAACCTATTTTAAGTATGAAGTGTCAGTATTATATAAATTAATAAAAGTATTTTTGAAATTATTGAATTTTATGGTAGTTTACCTTTTTAGGGATGCCTATGAATGAAAGAGATGGAGCAAGTGATGGTGGAAAAGTGTGCTCAAACAAAGGCCCTACTCTGTCATGATCAACAACCACCATTCCTTTGGTGTCAAGAAAAGGGAAGCTATAGGAGTACCTACAAAAACAACCAATTGATGAATTTTGAAACATCTTCAATTATTAGTATCACACATCTAAATTACTTTAAAAGGAAAAAATAAAAAACATAGCTAGGCATAGTCCCCACATTGAAATAATCAAGGTAATAAAGCTCATAATTATTCAATCATAGTATCTTTTTCACCTAACTTAGTCAAGCTTAGAAGATTGATTTTGCTCTTTAATTGTAGATTTTGTTTAATAATCAATCACTTCTTTTGACAGCTTGATTTGTTTGGTGATCATGTGGGGACTTACCCGGTACAGTATACAATAGTGTCTGCTTTAAGCCAAGAACCATCCTTAAAAGTCACCCTTCCATCCTCTTCAAGTGTGTCAATCTGCACAAAACATCAATGAATCTTATTTAATCATAAATAATTGAAATTTATGGTAGCACCAATACTTCAAAAAAAAAAAGTGTTTGTGTCAGTGTTTGGATTCGAAACTACATCTCAAAAAAAGATGTAAATCCGTGTCAGAGATAATTATCAAAATCACGATCTAAATCTTAAAATCTTACGATTTATCAATTTCATTCACCCCAATGATCTAGATCGTAAACATAATTGTGTATAGTAAATTGTAAAAAAAAAAGGGTAAAACTAATGATTATGTATCATGAGTCAATTCTAGTCATAATCAGTCATTTTCTGGCCGCCACCATTACAAGCTGATAAAGATGGCAAGATATAAAAGCACAACAATTTCGGTTATGTGGTGTCCATTTTCTCACGAATACACTTGCCAAGGAAAATATCATGTAGAAATACTTGAAATATATAGTATTATTATCCGTTATCTTACGATTTTTGTTACAATCGTATATTTTGCGATCTTGCTACCCCCTCTCGATCTTACAAAAATAATTGAGTAGAAACTTTCGATCTCAATTACGTTCTTATATTTTACTATCTTACCATCTCCTCTCGATCCTATACAAATTCCCAATTTTAACACTCTTAGTATTAGTATGGGTGTCTGAAAAACCTATGAAAAAGGTGTGTCATTTGTCTCTGTCCGAAACCGACTTAGACAATTGCAATTACAATTATGTTTATTTTATTTTTTTTTTAAATTATTACTGATATTGCCGTCTCAGTGTCATATTTCCGGAATTCTTACTTAATTTGTGATTAATATGAGATTAAAACTTGAATATCATGAAAATGTTATATATACCTGTGGGTGAAGATGTAAGGTGTCATGTTTGGATATGACTTTAGATAACCCTTCAGTTATAGTATTAAGAGATCTCGAACTTATATGGATTTCCTTTGCTACTCCCACTAGCTCTATTGCTATATCTTGTCCACTAAAGGAATTTCCAACTAACACCACAACCTGTGAAATCCAAGTTTAATTAACTTAAATAAATATTGAGTTAACTTAAAAAGCAAACAAAGATTTTGTATCGGAACTATATATATATAATATATATACCTCATTGTGGAATGGTTCTGGAGTCCTGTAAATGTGACTGTGCATTTGTTTTCTTTTCCATGTATCCATTCCTAGTTTTCACAAAAGACATAAATAAAAATATAGTAGTTGAGATATAATATTGAGAAATTTATTAAAGTTACCTTTAATGGATGGCAATTTTGGTTGAGAATAATGACCAGTGGCAACAACAACTGCATCAAAAACTTCTTCAACAAACTTATCACAATTCTTTTCTTTACTTGTAACAATCCACTTTAAGTCATTTCTACAAACACCATTACGATCCAACATTCCAACATGTTGAACCCTTGTGTTGAACTTTATCATCTCCCTCAACCCAAACCACTCACAAAAATCCTTTAGATACCTAAGCACTTCAACATGGCTAGGAAACCTCCTCATGTCTCTATCTTTCTTGATCAAAAATGGAAAGTCTGTGAATCCCATCACTTCCCTTGGAGATGCTACTCTTAAAGACCTGTAAACACTGCTATGAACTTTTAGAAAAGGGTTTCTTCCTAAAGGATCCTCTCCTTCGACATTTTTATCGTCGTATAACCATTGTCCTCCAATGTCATGATTTTGTTCCAAGACTATTGCTTTGTGACCTTCTTTTCTTAGCTCTCGTGCCGCTACTAGGCCGGCTGGCCCGGCTCCGATTACACACACATTCTTGGATTGGTTCCTCGTCTCAGAAACCATGTTGGATCGAATCGAGTGGATCCTAGAAGAAGAATCCGAGATCAAAGAAATAGAGAGAGGTTGGACAGACGCAGAGGATCAACTTAGATCCTTTGTTTCTATACAACCTCCGAAGTACGAAAAGATAAAGAGAAAATAGATGGAGAGAACTATGTTGGAAGAGTGAGAGTAACTAGGAAGGTAAGGGATATATTTATAGATGAAAGATGAGAATGCAAAAGAAAGAGATTTTTATTGGTATGTGTTGGTGAATGGAAGAGATTTTATAGATGAAAATGTTTTACGTAGGCAAAGAGAAACCATGATTTGGGGGGATATTGATGGTTTGTTGGCTAGGAGACACACGTGAACATGTAAAATGAATGCTTTTTTTGAAGTTTGGACCTTAATAGTAACACCTAGACTCACTCTTTTGTCTTAACGTGGAAAATGCTTCTTCTTCTACTATTACTTTTTTTTTTTGTAAATTGCAAATTCTTTGATAAAAGTTGAAGTTTATAGCCATCATTGGTGTTCATAATTTTACTTTTTTAAAAAGTTACCTTTCTCTTTTGGTGTTGTATGGGTTGGTTTTTGTCTGCACTGCATGCAAGTGTTTGGTATGTCGTTATGATGGTCTTGCATTGCCATAATTCATCGTTCAGGAACAGGACAAAAGAACTTCAGTTATGATTAATTTACTCTAATTTCTAACTGCTTGTATTTTACAAGTTAATTATTGGTTATTGGCTATAAGTATATTGAATAGCCTTGATTTGTAAGCTAATCCTATTGATTTCTTACAATGATTGAAAACTGTTCATAGTGAAGATAAAGCTAAGAACTCGGAATGTTGTGCTATTGTTCACGAGATGGTTGTGTCTTGTTAAAATTTAGAAACTAAATGGATAATGGTTTCAAAATGCTCTTGCCACATGACTTCTAAATTTCTTGTTTTAATGATTTTTGTGAACAATGAGGACTTGTTCTCCTTGGAAACGAGTCTAGTAAGATCTTTAGAATTGATATTTGTAATATGTCTTAAAATTTCAAGTGAGAAAAGAGAAGGAAAAAATTATTTTTCAATACTATTATATTTTTTTGGCGAGATAGCGGCGGTTGAGACGGTATGGTAGCCAGTGGAGTCTGACCTTCCAACAATAGCGTGCATGCGAGTGATGACACCGGCCTGTGATCGGGCGGTGGATCTGAAGTCGGGTGCTAGTGGCATCCTTGGAGAATCTCAAACTTTAGAGACATGTTCGCTAGTTTGTTTGTTAATGGGTCGGGTCATATGTTGGGCCTGTTATGGTTTTGGGAGTAATAAATATGATACTCTCTCGTTTGTTGTTAACATGAGGTGCATAAAATACTAATTCTAATGAAAAGCAAATGGTAGAAACTCTTAAGATTATACTTTTAGAGTTTAACAATTTTTTGAGGTTATTAAAGGAATTTAAGAGACACTTTAAATATCTTGGATTTGTGTAATTCTTAGATCGAGAGTTGGAGAGTTTAGAAAACACTTGAGTAGAAAATTTGATTTGTTTGAGAACTATAAAGATTATTTTCTTATAACTTATATTGTAATTTCTTTTAATAATTTTGAATTATAGTGAATCAGAAAATTATTCTCTCTAAACATAAATTGATTTTGATCTGTTCATATCAAAATACCCCAACACTGAACTTGATAAGATGATTGTGTCATGTGTGACTTTAATATGGTTGACTACTTCTCGTTTTGGTGATGCATCACTAAAGAGGGTGTCATGTCCCAAATTTGTTTGTCTTGGTGTTAACGGTTAAAATTTATTTTTTTAGGACTATTAAGTCATTTTTATGCTAATTGTTGTGTTATTATTAGGGGTGTTCTCGATTCGGTTTAGATCGGTTTTAAAATAAAAACTCATCTGATTCTAAGATAAATTCACTTGCGGTTCGGTTCGGTTTTAGATGATATATTAAAAAAATTCAATCTGATCCGATCCCATTTTTTGCGGTTTAATTTAGATCAGTTTTTGAATATCCAAATTACACATTATATTTTATTAATATTATAAAACTACTAATAAACCATAAGTTTGATGTAATATATAATATATAGTATATTAAAAGTTAATATTACAAAATGAGAGTCGTCGATTATAGTTGAAATAATAAAAATAAATAAATTATACCAAGCTAATAAATATTATTAAAAAATTATTATAATCTAATAATAAATTCACATAAGATATCATACTAATAAAAAGTAAATAAGTATAAAAATATATGTATGCACTTCGGTTTGGTTTGGATCGATTTTGAAAAATTCATCCGAAATCCGATCCAAATCGATTGATTTTCATAAAATGACATCCAAACTCATCCAATAAATTTCATTTTTTTGTGGTTTTCGATTTTTTGGATCGGTTTTCAATTTTTTATTTGGATTGGTTTGGATTTGAACACTCCTAGTTATTACATTTATTTAAAATTATATTATCATGCATGCTAATGTTTATATAAGTGTTTTAAATATAAAGAAATCAATTCGGTTTTTTTATAAAATTATCGGTGCATTTTTTAAATTTGACTCATCATCCAAATCAGTTAAGTGGCTCATTAAGTTTGGTAAGAAGCCCTCGTTGAATTTAGTATAATTATTTTATTAATCATTTTGTCATTTGGTTGACCAGAGTCAACACTCCTCCAATTATTTATTTTCATTTTTATTCTATTGTTATTATTGTTTTAATAAATAATGGTAATATTGTTATTTTTATACTAATATTATTATTATTCTTAAGTTGACCTGAAAGTCAACATTGCCTTGAAATATACTGTTTTGTTTAAATTAATTAATTAATTTGTTATTTAGTTTATTTTTGAATGAAAGCTGACCAAGTCAACTTTAGGGTTTCAAACCCTTAGTACAGTTGCGCCCAGAACACCTCCTTCTTTCCTAAGCAAACACAGAAAGCCCAAGTTGTTATTTTGAATCGAATCAGACGAAAATCAAATATAAAAATATTGAAACAATTTTTATTGATTTTTGAATCTATATATAGATTTCGAACCAAGTACATAATAAATTGCAAAACCTAATTTCTAAGATCTAAACAAATCCTCTTAATTTACAAATGAAATTAAATTATGGAATCAATTTGTTCTAATTGATTTGTAACAACAAACCAACATGACTAATTTCCTAATCTAATCAAAACCTAAGCATATAAAAACCCTAAGGCTAAATAGAAATGGGGACCGATAATTTAAGATTGAGGAGAAGAAGAAAATTTGGAGAGTTGAATCCCTTTGATTCCTTGCTGCTTCCGAGAGTCACTTGTACATGCGAGAAAGAAAAGGAGAAATCAGAAGAGAAGAAAACATAATTTAAATTACTATGAGAATCACTGCAGGAGAGGTAAGTCTAAACATAACTTAGGGTTTTGAATGTTGTTGTAGTTGGATTTCTGGATATTTCGTCGGGAATTTGGATATTTCTCAAAAAATTGGGGATTAGGGTTAGGGTTCATACGAACCAGGGTTAGGGTTCATAGCTTCATGCTAGGGTTCTTAGGGTTCTTCAGGTTATCTGGGTAGAAGATGATGTTCTTGACAAACACCCATCTTGGACGGCATACTCAACGGTTGCCCACGATGGATCTAGGCTAGGGTTCATGGAGTTTAGGGTTAGGGTTCTTAGGTTGTTAGGGTTCTAAGGAATATCCTAGGGTTCTAAGGGTTTAGGGAAGATCTGGGTTTTGAATGATGAAGGTTTGAAGTTCAAGCGGAGAACTTTGTTTTCACAGCAGTTTTGGGGTGGATGAAGAACAACCACGTGCAAAGAAGATTTCTGAATGGTGGTGCATGGTGGTTTGTTTAGATAGAGGTCAGAGAATTGGAATAAGAAAGAGAGGGGGTTTGAGTTAGATAAAGGAAGAAATGAGAAAAAATGAAATAAATTTTGGGAATTTCGCTTAAATATTCTCTCCCTCACTCATCGGATATGCACGCATGGCTACTTGATGTCCATACGATTGGAGGACCATTGACTTGACTCTGTGTGATCTCTCTCACCGTGCATCTCATTTAACAAGCAATCTCGTCCATCCATTTGTCATGCTTTGGATCAACGACTAAGAATTAACTTCTGATAGCTCTGTGATTCAAATCAAATGTTGTCAATCCTATGCGCTCACCAGAACCATCTGCACCTACCCACACGTAATCCAAACGGATTTAAAACAATTTTATTGGCTTGGTCCAATCTTATTCGCACCCCTATCTTACTAACTTCAACTAAGGCAACACCCTCCTGCACTATTGAACCAAACAAAATCTTGGGCTTAGCCCTTTGCTAATTAGAAACCTCAGGTTTACTTAGTTAAACTAAGATACACTCCCCCTATTTATTTGTATAATTTTATTTTTTTGGTTTATTTATTTTATTTTATTTCTAAATCAATTCATAATTCTTTTTTTTTTATTAAAATAACAAAAATATTTTTTTCTAATTAAATATATATACTTAATTTATTTTCTAATTATATTCAAACACTTTCTTTTTTTAGAAAAAATATTAATTTCATTTTTCAATATTTATTACTATTATTATTTCATATTAACATAATTATATTTTTAAAATTACTAACTAATTTTTATACTGACTTACTTATTTATTCTAATCTTTTATATTGACTTCAAACATTATTTTCATTTAAATGCACTTTTCACTTTTATTTTGCTAAAATTAAACAAATATTAAAACAACTAATCCATCAAACTATTTTTTTACTAACTTAACAAAATATTTAAGATATTTTCAAAACAAGATTAAATAGCATTGTCTTCAAATCAAAATTTCGAACTGTGTTTATGATTACTCATTTTTCAAACCCAGACAAGATTCAAGGATAATTCAAAAGCAATTTCATGTATTCCTATAAAATTACTAACCAAACACATAACGAACTACGAAATAGACTCTGATTTCTTCGCAAGAGGATACGTAGGAACGCGGTTGAAAAACCAAG